GGCTGCACCTAGGGATTGGGCCTGCCCTCTGCCACCCGGGAGCAGGCCTAAGCCAGCAGGGCGTTATCTCCTGAGGGGTCCCAGACTGCGAGAGGGCACAGGCCAGGCTGAGGGACCCCCCCACTTCCCCCTGAGTGCACAAATTTTTGTGCACCGGGCCTCTAGTAATAACAATAAACATTATGTGCCCTGACCATTGTGGCTCAGTTGGTTGAAGCATTATCCCCATGTACCACCAAGGGTCACAGGTTTAATTCCTGGTCAGAGCACATGCCCAGGTTTCAGGTTTGATCCAACCCACTCCTCCCCCTCTGCCCCTGTTGGGGCATGTCCTCTCTCACGCCAATCTCTCTCTCCCTCCCCACCCCTAAAATCAATATAAAAATATATATTCTCGGGTGAGGATTAAAATTAAGAATAATAAATAAACATTGTGAGGGAGAATTAAAGTACTGATTTTCAAATTAAGCTTACATTTAGTAAGCTGCTCATTTGACACACAAAAACTCATTAATAATAATCATTCTAGCACAAAGCTTATTGATATCTGTGTTAAATACCTAGGAGTTGCAGGGCTGAATTTTTCTTCTCTTTCTAATTCCTTTCTTTGGATCAAGGGATTTTCAATTGTCACTAAAACAGAGGGAAAAGTATGATGCTATTATAAAAAAGTAACAGGTTAAATAAAAAACAAGTGTACATAATAAACATTATAATGTTATTTCTAATCTCTGAGTTAGTGTTAAATATCCTTCCCAATCATTTTCTTGTGTCCCTGGGAGAAAAAGAATCCTGGGGTATGACCATCAACTGACCCCAGATGATATTTCTTATGCTTTGTGTTTAAATGCCAACATATGACCCACATTAACATTATTTTATCAATTAATTACACTGAGCATTTTATTTGATTACAAGATGCTCTTCTATATTTGATTTGATTACAGCATGCTCTTCTATAAACAGTTAATTGATCTTCATCCAATTCACAGTTGCTCTTAGAAAATAATAGTGGGGAAGAAAGAGCAATGCAAAATCTGAGTTCTGATTTGAGTTAAACAACTTAATAAGCTTATCAGCTAACATTTTAGGGTTTCCATTTCCTCATGGTCTATATTAGACCTTTTTATGTTCTATTTTGCTAATTACTCACACAATCATTCCCTTTTTACGAATGAAAAAATTGAAGCTCACAAAGGTTAAATAACTTTCTTGAGGTTTTATATCTAGAAAGTAGTAGAGCTAGAATTAGAATTGTTCAGATTTAAAAATCTGTAATCTTTTCACTCTACCACACTAAAATCCTACTTAAATTTATAATCATTATTGACTTTACACTTTTATTTTTTTTAACATATTTTATTGATTTTTTACAGAGAGGAAGGGAGAGAGATAGAGAGTTAGAAACATCGATGAGAGAGAAACATCGATCAGCCGCCTCCTGCACATCTCCCACTGGAGATATGCCCGCAACCCAGGCACATGTCCTTGACCAGAATCGAACCTGGGACCTTTCAGTCCGCAGGCCGACGCTCTATCCACTGAGCCAAACCAGTTTCAGCGACTTTACACTTTTAAAATCCCTATCTCATTCAACCTCACATCCCCCTTCAACATAAAACATATATACTATATACTAGAGGCCTGACGCATGAAATTTGTGCAAGGGGCTTGGCCCTTGCAGTCGAAGCAGTTTGCCTTGGCCCTCACAGCCCTGGCTTCATCTGGAAGGTCATCCAGAAGGACATCTGGAAGGTCGTTCGGCTGTCTGGCCTAATTAGCATATTACTACACACACACACACACACACACACACTTTTAAAAAAAATTGATTTCAGAGAGGAAGGGAGAAGAAGAGAGATAGAAACATCAATGATGAAAGAGAATCACTGATTGGCTGCCTCCTGTATGCCCCCTACTGGGGATCAAGCACGTGCCCTTGACTGGAATCAAATCTGGGACCCTTCAGTCTGCAGGCCGATGCTCTATCCACTAAGACAAACTGGCTAGGGCTATAACATATTTTAATACCAAAATATATTTTTAGCTCTGTATAACTAACGTTCTGGCATTTATCCAAGGAATGTTTCTAATTGTACTGGGCCCTGTGAAGTCTGCAACATTTTCTACCTTCAACTTCGTATGTTCAATTACTCTGTTATTCAGTTAGAGAGAGACTACATACAACACTGAAAGTTAATAATACAAGGCAATATATGATTAGGCTGCTTCATACTACAATACTGGAGAGTAGTAGTTTATCTGCATTACCCTTCCCCTTCTTTTTTCTACCATGAAAGAAAGTTGGAATATATGCTTTCTTATTGCTTGTAGTGCACTAAGTTCTACACTTTATAATAAGCACACTATCTCATTTAACATTCACGAGAATCTGTAAGATATTAATTCATAATTGAGGCCCAACAAGATTAAGTGTGAATAAAGGTTGGAATTAGGATCTATGTGCTTTCAAAGTCCTTGTTCTTTTTATTATACTACACTGTACTACCAGAGGGATATTGGGGTGGGGAGAGGATGCAACAGATTTGGTATTTTAAACTAAAAGTAAAATTTCTTAAAACCCATTAAACATTTGCCCTGGCTAGTGTGGCTACTGGTTAGAGTGTCAGCCCTCACACCAAAGGGTCAAAGGTTAAATTTCAGGTCAAGATCAGGTACCTGGGTTGAAGGTTCAATCCCACACCATGCCCCCATCCATAGGGCACATGTGGGAGGCAACCAATTGACCTCTCTTTCCCCCTCACTCCCTCCCTTCCACTCTCTCTAAAAATCAATTGAAAAAAAACATCTTGGTTGGAGGTGAGGTACACGCCATCTTATTTTTATTATTGTTATTATTTAACCCATCTTTCAAACAAACT